GTTGACCCTGAATGAGAAAGTATTTTAAGGATTCGTACTTAACTCGATAAATTACGAATTTAATTGTTAAGATCCTGTCTTTGTACAGAAAATTCCTGATAACCTGTTGGTAACTTCCGAGAAGATAATTGACCTGAAAATCTCCGAGTTAAGAATAAATTATTGAGGGTGTTCTTTTGTCAGAATTGTTCAAATGGTCTGGAAAAGATGATACGTTTGAATTAAAAAGATCATATGGAAAGAAAGGATTGGACTACACTAGATCTGTAAAATAACCAAAATACCCCTGTAATAAAAATAACCCAAGAATATCACCAAGCTCGGGAATGATTGGATATCCTCAAGCTCTGTAATGAATGGAATAAAACTAAACACCAAAATGACCAAAATACCCTTATAACCTAGACTAAGTAGATGTCTTGGATTAATTAAGGAAATCTAAATAAACATGGGTGTGGTACTACTCTTAAAAGTTATGGATCACATATTAAGCCGAGCAACCAATGCTAGTGTTATATCAGTACCAGAACGGCATAGATGTCACTTGAATGCGCGTTTGATTTCTCAAGTTTGGTTCGATGATAATTTTGGAAGTATTCAGCTCAGCTCAAATCTATATCACATTTTCTACTAAGAAGGGGATATTCGTTAGACAAATCAACCATGAAGACCAAATTGAACGGAACAGGAGTACAACATGTATCCAAAATTCAGAAACGTACGAATTACTCTGGAAAACTCCGAAGTAACTGGATTTGACTTGACTATTAAATGAACTAAGTAACCTCAATGACTGAGGATTAAGTAAGTGATTTGGATATGTCTGAAAACTTTGATGAGTTTACATACTGTACCATTACTATGGGTTATGAACCAAAAATCAAGTATGTCAGCATTTCCTGATATCGTTGAAGTGAAGAAATGAAATAAAGACCATTGGAAGATTCATTCAACGATGACTCAAAGATGATTTATGAACAATAATTGTTGGTATTAAAGAGTGAATACATGGAAGGACAACGAATAGACCGATCAACATGTATTAGTTCTAGAAGTTGTTCAGCTTGGGTTATTTTGATAATTTGATAGATCGACACAGACTATAAATGTCATGAACCTTCATTCATTCCTTATCAGCTCAAGTCTAATTCTGAATAACTTATGATTTCATCAGTTATTGATCTCTTCCAATAGTGATTTTAAATTCCAACCTTTTATCGATATACTGAAGATCTGTGTTTTTCTGCCTGATAAAATTATCCAGTACCTCTAAATAATATTCGTAAACTCTGGTGTGTTCCCTAATCATATAAATATTTTATCTGATTTTCGATTTGAATTTTGTTATGATACCTGACCTGAATTCTGATCTTATACTGACATGGATTCTCATATGATACATGACCTGGATTCTGATATGATACTTGACCTGAATTATATTTTGATTTTTGATATATCCGTTTACGGACAGAACATGTTTTATTGGGGGTATTGTTGGAGGAAGAATACTTGTATGTTCCTCGGCTTTGTGCTCAGGGCGTTACTGGACGTGACGGGGTTGTATGGTTCTGGGGAACCTACACATTTTGTTCATGACGGATGGGGGTAGTGTTCATATATATATATATATATATATATGTTTTAAAAGATCTGTATCTTTTTATTGGTTTTACGGGAACATACTAGATAACCTATTCTGATCTCCTAAACCTAAACATCTCAAATATTTCTATTTGAATTAAATACTATCTGTTACTACCTGAGATATCAATAGGATCTCAGCTCAGCCTAAAAATCTGTAAATATCTGAAAAAATAAGGAAATATTTGTTTATATGTATCTGCACGTTTTTCAGCATCATCTGGTAGTTCTGTGTTACTGAGCTTTCCGAAGTTCACTGTATTATTCACCATTGCAGGTTAAAAGAATTATAGCAGTACAATTATCACATGAATGTTTTATCTGATTTCCTATTTGTATTCTATTCTGATACCTTACGTAGATTTTGTTCTAATTTCTTATATGGATTCTGTTCTGATATCTGATCTGAATTCTATTTTGATTTCTAATATCTCTATTTACTGGCGGAAAAATGTTTTATTTGGGGGGTATTATTGGAGGAAGTATTTCTGTAGGTTCCTAGACTTTGTGCTCAGGGCCTTACAGGTTGTGTGGGTTGGGTGTATGGTTCTGGGGAACCTACACAAACAAATTGTGAAAGGATGGGGGTAGTGTTATGTTTTTTAAAATATATTTTAAAAGGATCCGTATCTTTTCACTGGTTTTACGGGAACACACTAGATAACCTATTTTGATCTCCTGAACTCAGTCATTCAAAATATTTCTCTGAACTGAAAGCTCATTGTTTGTTACTACCTGAAATATCAATAGGATCTCCGCTCAATATAAAGATCTGTAGATGTCTGAACCGATAAAGAAATATATGTTTATCTGTATCTGTAAGTTCTTCAGTATCATATGGTAGTTCTGTATTACTGAGCTTTCCAAAGCTCACTCTGTTACTCATCTTTTCAGGTTAAAAGGATTAAACCAGTGCATCTATCGACATACATAAAGGAATTATTCTGGCGTTGCCTGCAGAGTATGGTACATGTGATTAAGGGGCATGTAGATTGTATTTTGTTTTATATATGAGTCTGAAAACCTGTTTTATTTCTGAATATTGATAAATCATTTTTTGAGTTTACATGTTTTAATAAAAGTTTTAAATTTTCTAAGATTTTTACAGTGGGTCGCTCTGTGACCCTAATGTGACACCACAGATCGGATCGGGTTACCTGCATAGGTCTGAGGGTGTTACAAAAAAAAACAAATATTAGTTGGTTTGTTAAAATGGGTATAACATCATAGGTGAGCTGGTTTAACCAACTAGATTCTTCTAGTAAGTCATTTGTAAAAGGATAAATATAGGTTTCTACTAAATGAAAAAGCAGTGAATTTTGTTTGTTTACAAGAAAAGTTTCACAATCGAACATCAAAAAGTTCTAAATCAGTTTTCGAGATGTTACATTTTCAATAAAAATTTGGTAGTGTTGTTATAATAATTATTATTATTTTTTGTGACAATATTTGTTTGAAACTATTACTACAAGAAATCGTGATGCATATTTTTTAGTAGAAGCCGTTAGTTTTATTAAAAGAAAAATACTCAAAATTACAATGTATGTTTACAACATAACCATAAACTAAACATGTAATTAAGATATTTTCCTATAACCATTAACACAAGAAACTAGCCAATTGAGATCATGTAAAGACCATATAAGGAAAAAGGTTAAAAACTCAACCAAAATACTTAGGAAAGATAGATACATTTTTATCTAGCTATTGTTATAGTAGTAATTATGACAATAAAATTTATTTCACAATTAAATTCTCGCTATAAGCCTATAATTGTGTCGTAAATTTTATTATCATTAAAATTTTAACATTATTATAATACATAAATTAGCACTAAATATTTTCTTGAAGATAAATGATATTATAGTAATGATTTATAAAGCTATCACTATTATTTTATATTTGTCATGACAATAAAGTTATTTGTCACTATAAATTTATTTTTTTATGATAAACTTTGATATTAATAAAAATTAAAATTAATATCAAATGGATATTATTACAATAATACATTTATATTTATTATCATGGTAATAATAACAATTATAAAAAAACTATAGTTATCATAAACTAATTTGACAAAATTAAATTTTTATCATTATTCTCTAAATTATGTGTAAATTGTGATTTTAGTAATTAACTTTAATTTAATCAATTTTATTCCATATATTTTTATATTTGAAATTTGTAATCTTTATTCAAACGATACAATGATGGTATGACTAAAATGATCAAATTGAAGAATAAAATTAAATCAGCAACTTATATAATAGTATAGGAACTAACAACATAATTTTAGATATAACGATTATCATTCATCTCAAGATCAACATATTAAAACTTTAAAAATACGAAAACTTAAAGTGGCCAAATTAAAAAAAAAACTAATACACGATAGCAAAATTTTACCTTGTAAAAATTTTAAAAGATATACACAATTAAATAAATAATCGAGGTTACTATAAGTTTTGACGGTGTCATATAATCTTTAATTATAATTTTTTAATTTTTTTTATTAATTTGTATATGTAATTTGTGATCTTAATTGAGATACATATAAATTTTGTAAATATTGTTCAAATATTAATACTTTAATTTGTTTGTTTGAATATTGAGGCTTCCTAACACACGGTCAAAATATTTTTTATTTTATTAGAAATATAATTTAAGGACTTCTTAGTTGAAATATTTATTATCAATATACCAAATAATTATCCCATAAAAAGACAATTCTATTATTAATTTAAAATTAATTAAATTAATTTATATAATTATTTTAAAATTATAATATTTAATCTTAATTAATTTTAATATAAGTTAATCTAAATATTATTATTTTTTATAAAAAAATAAATTCGCTTACACTAAAAATTTTAAGTTTGTTTTTCTTCATGTCCTACATTGTATTAGTTTATTAAAATAATAACATAGGGCTGCCACCCATACTACCAGTGATTAATTGTAGAAAACTTTTTGCACTAGTTTTTGGATAATGATAAGTTTGTGTTAGTCAAAGATAATAATCATCATTTTAACCATTAAAATTATTTAGTTTGTGCAAATAACATTATTATTAAGTATAATACTACAATGATATTTCTTTTCTTGTTTTGGTTCATTACAATGTGGGTATTTTGTTTTGGTTCATTACAATGTGGGTATTGATTAAGCTAACAGTAAAAAGAACATCAATTAATAAACAAAACTTTAATATTACCATCGATTTATCAAAGTAACACTCGTTGATTTGATGCTTCTCACCATGCATCTTGTTTTAGTTTAATTATTTGAGCCATAAATAAAAATGAAAGAAATCACATATTGTTGGCAACGATGATATATGAATTATGGCAGAGAAATCATCCGAAGAAGAAACCTTTCTTTCCGGCAGCTTTGTTTCCGGCGGCTTTGTTCTCGGTGGGAGCGGAAAATATAGAAAGAATAGACATGCATAAGAAGGCGGCTGCCAGAAGTCCGGTCGCCAGATATCCTCTGTTAAAGAAACCTTCGAACGGAGTATCCTTTAAACGTCCCCCGAATGACTCCAACAAATCATTTAGAAATCTTTTAAGATCCGCCGTCGCCAAAAAACCGGCCCCAACACCCAATGCCAAAACAAAGGCAACCGCCTGTAATACCATATTCATATCACAATGAAAATCAATTTTGTTTTGATATATTAATTAGATTTAGCATTGTTGATGACAGAAATAGAGTTTGGGGTAGTTTTTCTGATTTGATCAGAGAGTAGCGGACAGTTGTTGGTAGGTTGAAGAAGATGATAGAGAAAGTGAGAGTATGAGAAACTCTTCTTTTCCGGTCTTGCATGGTGGTTTATATAGAGATTCTTGATGTTGGTAACAAGCTTAGAATTATGAACTTCTGATGATTATTTATAGGTTGGTAGGGTTAATAGATCTAACTGTCAAATCACGTGGTACCACTATCAGTGGACATGTCAAAAAATTATATCTGATCAAAAGATGTGAAATTTAAGAAACCTCGAGAGTCGATGATGAAGAAATGGTAACAAAAATGTAGTTTGCATAGGAGGTTCGGAAGAGGTACAATAACCATGCTAATGTATATGCAAATGGGGTATATATATACCTTGTCTCCATAAAAATACAAGGTTGGCAAGATAGGACCACGAATGAGCTTCTTTCCGGCACAAGCACGATACATTGTAAAGGGTAAGAGCAATAGGCAATAGGTTGCTGCAACAACAGCCGTGGCCAGCACATACCTGCACAACCATGATCAAATTAACAAAGAAAAGTAAAAAAATTTGGGTTAAAGCCATGTGTTGTTGTTTACTTGTAGGTAATGATGTCTTTGAATGTTACTTTGGAGCCATCATCGTCGGTGGCCTTGTCTAGTACCAGAACCACTATGCATCCAGCTGCGAATAAAAGAGTGAAGATTCTGAGCACAAGGCTAAGAATCACCCGAGCCTTCTTGGACGCCATATATCAACCACTTGAGGCTCTTTTCTTGATGATTCTTGTATAAATGAAATCCACATAGATCACTCACAAAAATGTTTTTATAGAAAATCTTGTCTCGGTTCTATCTGTGTTTTTGGTTACATTAAGTATAGGGTAAGATAGGTGATTAATCACCTAACCATTGTTCTGGTTCCGTTTTAGTCATTATTTTTTTTCAAAATCATACCTAAAGTTTCATTTTAGTAACCTAACGTTAAAAAGTTAACGGCAATACTGACAAGGGCGAAACTGTGATGAAATTATGGGAGGGGTCAAGTTGATAATCTTTGATATTAATAAGGTTATAAAAGGTAATTAAACCACATAAAAATAGATGATTAGGGCTTAATTTCACTAATTTCAAAATTGACATGTCCTAAAAAGTAATTAAACCAAAAAAATTAGACACAAGACTTAATTTCATTTAACTTTAAAACTGATAATATCTTAAAAAATAATTAAACCAGAAAAATTTAGGAGGGTCAGGACTTAATTTTAATAATTTCAAAACTTTTAAAGGCTTAAAATACAATTAAACCTTAAAAATTGGGGTGGGTCATGTACCCTTCTGCCCCCACCTGGTTCCGCCACTGAATTCTTTCGCGTCACCATAAAGTAATGCTATATTACTATTGAAAAATAAAAAAATATCACAATAGCAATTATGTTTATTTTTAACGATGGTGACCAAAACATAACTAAGTATGATTTTGTAAAAAAATAGTTAGATGACCAAAATGGATCGAAAGTGATAATTGGTGACTAAAAACTTAGTTTACCCTATAGTATATCTGCAGGCCTCCATCACTCATTGGCTGCGTCTTTCGATGGTTCCAAGCTATTATCATTGTTCATTTGAACGATGCAATGATTTTTGGAGTACGTATTAGGAACACAAGAAGTCTGAAACCCAATTTTGATAACCAAATCAGTTTAATTAAATTGAAGCATTATATATATTTACTAATTCTGAGAAGAAAACTATTAATAATTTTTAATATATCTGTCGAGACTATATTTTTCCGGCAAAAACAAGTGTCATTATTTTCTAAATCTCGTCTCGAAAAAATAAGTGTTTTTCTTATGATATAAGATAAAACACAAATTTGAGGAGTCACCACCAATCATTTATCGATGTGTGGTTGGTCACCAAAAATATTATGTTATTTTAATAAAATTTATAAAAATATTATTAAAATAACAAAAAAAGGGTCTGCTTAACAAAAAATTAGTTCGGGAGTCGATTACGTGTAGGGAAGGATTAGCACTCCCACAACGCCTAAAATTGGTACATTTATTTATTAATTAATGTCTTTGTAGTAAAATTTATAAATTTAAATTTAATTTAATTTTTTTATCCCATAAAAAACAATAAGGATATTATTTTATATCAATAAATTATTTAAAAATATATTCCTAATCAATTAAGAAAATATTTTATAATTTATTGTATAAAATAATATAACCTGATTACATATAATAATTTTAATGATTTAATAAAGAAAATATAAAAATTAAAGTTACTATTAGAAGTACTTTATATTTTAAATAATCCTACAATCTTATTTAAAAAATTAAAATATTAAAATTATGAGACTAAATTATAAAATATAAAAATTAAAGGTTCATTTGAAATACTATAATAGTCAAAATATTACTAAAATTAAAATATTAAAGATTAGGGATTAAAATAAAAATTATCAAAATTTAGGAATTAAATTTAATATTTACCCTAAATATATATGTGCATGATTAAGTGACTAAAAATAAATAAAATAAAATTATAGATTCGAATTAAAATGCATAAAATATGATTTCAGTGACCAATATAGAAATTTATAAAATCTCAAGGATTGTGGACATAGTTTACCTGTGACTTAAATTATGCAAATACCCCTTCCCCAAAACAACATCATTTGGAGAGGGTTATTTTTATACCCAAATATGGCCCTAAAGGCCAATATATCTCTCATTTCTCATTTATGTTTCTCTCTCGCCTCTCTCTAAAAATCTCTCATCGGAGAGAGTCAGATCACCGACCGGAAGCTTCCTACCGCCGTCAACCACCCGGAATTGACAAACTTACCCCCAAAATAACCCTCTTTTCCACCTAAACTCAAATCTAACCTTTTTTAGTCCTAAAAACCCCTCAAAATTAGTAGATCTAAGCAATAACCAAAAGGTTTACCTCGATTTACACAAAGGTTTTCGACGGCGTTTATAATAATAATATAATAATAATATAATAATAATATAAATAATAACGGGACGAAAATGACTGTCGACAGCTACCCCTCTTTGTTCATTTTTTTGTTAACAAGAATAGAGCAAAGACAAAAGACAAAGAATTTTTGTCCAGTTGATTTTATGCTTTGATGAGAGATCCACTTTATTCAAAGGAAATCAAACTAGTGTATGACATTGTTCCTTCGTGATGATGACGTCTAGCCATCTTTAAAGATATTTGAGATAACTTGGTTCCTTCGTGATGAGAACATCTGGCTATCTAAGGATGACGATGCTCCTTTATGATAAGGAATTCTAATCAATGGATGACATTGTTCCTTCGTGATGATGACGTCTAGCCATCTTTAAAGATATTTGAGATAACACAGTTCCTTCGTGATGAGGACATCTGGTTATCTAAGGATAATGCTGCTTCTTCGTGATGAGGAGTTCTGATCGGTGGATGACATTGTTCCTTCATAATGAGGATGTCTAACCATCTTTAAAGATATTTGAGATAACATGGTTCTTTCATGATGAGGACATCTGGTTATCTAAGGATGATGCTGCTTCTTTGTGATGAGGAATTCTGATCAATGGATGACATTGTACCTTCGTGATAAGGACGTCGGGCCATCTTTAAAGATATTTGAGATAACATGATTCCTTCGTGATAAGAACATCTGGTTATCTAAGGATGATGTTGCTTCTTCGTGATGAGGAGTTCTGATCGGTGGATGATATTGTTCCTTCGTGATGAGGACGTCTAGCCATCTTTAAAGATATTTAAGATAACACGGTTCCTTCGTGATGAGGATGTCTGGTTATCTAAGGATGATGCTACTTCTTCGTGATAAGGAGTTCTGATCGGTGGATGATATAGTTCCTTCGTGATGAGGACGTCTGGCCATTTTTAAAGATATTTGAGATAACATGGTTCCTTCGTGATGAGGACGTCTGGACATCTTTAAAGATATTTGAGATAACACGGTTCCTTCGTGATGAGGACGTCTAGTTATCTAAGGATGATGCTGCTTCTTCATGATGAGGAGTTCTGATTGGTGGACGACATTATTCCTTCGTGATCCTATGTATGCCTAAAATGTATACAATGATGCAATTTTAGTGCATTTTCTTTTTCGAATAAGGACCCTTTCTCATTGGCCATCTTCTGACTCATTTCATTTTGGGTACAACAAACAAGGCAGATTTACTTCAATTGAATATCTTGATCTCATCTTCACTCAGATATAGTCTTTTCTTTCTTCTTGAACCTCGCTAGTACCAATGATCAACTATTCCATATGTGACAAATATTTTGGATCATCTTTATACGATTGAAACTTTCTAGGTACTTCAACTTTTATTTTCCATGTATCAATGTCATTATACAATCTTGAAAGTTGAAATCATTATCAATTTCAGAAAACCTGCATTTAAAAAAAAAACTTTTTGTACAATAATACACCATGATTTTATGTACTTCAAGTTAAACTACATATTTTAAATTTTCAAAGCAATATGCTTGCAAAAATTAGAGTTAACAAGAAAAGTCTTTTTTTATTTATAAAAATGTAAAGAGTTTTTAAATAATTACATGGCAAAATTTTATTGAAAAATGTACAAGAAAAAGTAGTAGGCATCTTCATATATCAATAGCATAAATACTTCTGAACTGGCATGCCGCAAAGTGATTCAAGTATAGCTTCTGTCAAAAGGATTTCTAGAATCGTGATAATACCTAAGGATGTAAAATCTCTTCTTGACTATCAAATCTCCAGATGTTATGCATCCTTAACAAATAATCCAAGATTTCAAACATGAATCTTGAATTATAACACTGAAGCCGCCCTTTACGGGTTTTCAACTTGAGACCTCATTTGGTTTCAAGATATCCTTTTCGGATTTTCATCATGAACCCTCCTGTTTTCAATTAGGCAAAATACTTTTTAACCGCATCGGAATTCACTGGGTGGGGTAATTCTGGCCCGTCCATCTCAGTGAGAACTAGAGCTATTCCAAAAAAAGCTTTCTTTACAATATAAGGTCCTTCCCAATTTGGCATCCATTTTCCTCAGGAATCCTTTTGAATAAGTAAGATCTTTCTAAGTACGAGATCTCCTTCGTAAAATTCTCGGAGGTGAACTTTCTTATCATGTGCTCGTATCATCCGCTTTTGGTACATCTGACCATGACAAATAGCTTTTAGTCTCTTTTCTTCAATCAAATTTAACTGGTCATATCTAGCTTGTACCCATTCTGCTTCATTTAGTTTTACCTCTGATTAAACTCGAAGTGAAGGAATTTCTACCTCAATAGGTAGGACAACTTTCATTACATAGTATAATAAAAATGGAGTTGCCCCAGTCAATGTTCGTACTGACGTTCTATAAGCCAACAAAGCAAATGATAGTTTCTCATACTAATCTTTATAAGTTTCAGTCATCTTCTCTATAAGCCTCTTGATATTCTTATTAGCTTCCTCAACTGCTCCATTCATCTTTGGGTGATAGGTAGTGGAATTATGATGGTTTATTTTGAATTCCTCACAAACTTATTTCATTATCTTGTTGTTTAAATTCAAAGCATTGTCAGAAATAATCCTTTCTGGTAGACCATATCGACAAATGATTTCCTTTTTCAAGAATTTACAGACTGTAGTTTGAGTGACGTTTGCATAAGAAGCTGCTTCTACCCATTTGGTAAAATAGTCTATTGCTACCAAAATGAAGCGATGGCCATTTGAAACTTTTGGGAAAATTTGTCCAATAACATC